TTTTTTTTTTTTTTTTTTTTTTTGTACCAGGGATTGAACTCAGGACTTTGTGCTTGTGAGGCAGGCGGCAGCACCACTGAGCTAAATATCTGGCCACCAATCTATATATTGAGAACACTGTTATTTATTTGTTTTTCAGATCAAAGACCATGCAACTACTATTACTATTTATTCCGAATACAAAAATAAATCCAGGGCTGGGTATTTAGCTCAGTGACAATGTGCGTGCTTTACAAACACAAGGTCCTGAGTTCAATCCCCAGTACCAAAAATAAAATAAAATAAAACCAAGGGCTGGGGATCTAGCTCAGTGGCAGCATGCCTGCCTGACAAGTGCAAGGTTTTGAGTTCAATTTCCAATGGGGGGGAGGGGGAATCCAAATTCTTATACACGGAGGGCTGGGAATTTAGCTTAGTGGCTCTGCCACCTGCCTTGCAAGTGCAAGGGCCTGAGTTTGATCCCTGGTACAAAACAAAAACAAAACACCCCCCCCACACACACACAAATTCCCCCAGTTCTTATACATGGAAAATGTATATCATGTACAGGGTGAACATCCCTTATCTGAAATGTTAGCAACTGGAATTGTTTTGTTTTTCAGATTTTGGAATATATGAGCATCTTGGAAATGGGACCCACGTCTAATGTCATATAATTTTACCATGTCTGAATTTTGATTGCAATTTGCCAAAAGAAGTCAGGTGTGGAATTCTCTACTTACAATGCTGGTGGCTGCCGCAGATTTTGAAACATTTTTGAATTTTCAAACTAGGAATGTTCAACCTGTACTGCAGTTTTAAAATTTGATTTTTAGGGATGAGGGGGTAAGACTGACTGCAAAAGGGAAAAAAAGGTTTTTTTTAGAGTGATACAAAGGTTTGAAATTCTTGTGGTAGTGATTATATGACTATGAATGATTACAACTTAAGCTACAGCCATGAGTGAATGTTACTGTAAACAAATTATACCTTAATAAACTTGACCTTCAAAAAGTGTAATCTTTTAAAAATTCTGATTCAAAATTCTTCTTTTCCTTCAGAACACATAGGTACATACCTGGATGATGTATAGAATTTAAACATTCACCCTGTAGGCCATTCTCACTTTTAGTCCTATCAACAACTTTCTGGCATGAAGATTCTCTTTTATTTGACTCTTCATTTTCACTTGCAATAGGATTTATTTTTTTCACACTGTATATGTTTCTCCGATCACAAGGGTTGCTTTCTTCCTGTCCAGCACTTGAATCAGTTACAGCTAGGCAATGCTTTTTGTTTAGCACCTTCTTAATGACAGGCTTGGCAGAAGAACTCTGTGAAAAACTGTCCATTTCATTGGCAGAAGAAGAAATACAACTGTCTTCTACAGTTGAATTTTTTTGTATGGCTGCATTTTCATGGTAATGAGGATTAGGTTCATACTTTGGTTTTTCTAAACCAGGGAAACAAACAACAGCCAAAAACCAGTGTGCACTGTAAAAAACAAATGAAACTACTAAATATATTAGAAAAGGTAGTTGTAATTGGCAATTATCAATTGAAATGTTTTCTCTAAAGCTTTTGTGAACAAACCTACTAACAATGCTTCATTTCCCCCAATTTTCAAATTATTATAACTGCTCTCATTTTTATATGATTACTAACAGAATACAGCACTTATTTAAAAAGAACATGATTTTTGTTAGAATTATATTGCCTTCATTCACTTTGAAAACAAATCTGCAAAATTTTATTTTATTATTATTATTATTACTTTAATAATGTCTGTTTTATTAATAAAGTAGGGAGGAGAAAGGCAGCATTTCATAGCCTTTCCAGGACCTGGAATTGGGACACCTGAAAAACAAATTAGCAAAGAAAAGAGGAAAAGCTTTAGAAATCAAGACAGCTGACAAGAAAACTAGAAATTGGAGAAATCAGAGAAAAGGAAATGAAAGAAAGGAAATGGTCTGGGACAAATCCTGGCTCCTGGGAAGGAGGAGGTCCTGTTTGCTAAAAGGCAAACTCAGTGAGGGTCGGCAGACCCGGGATAAAAAAGTGGATGGCCAGCAGTGCTAGTAGCCTTAAGAAAAAGCCACAGTTATTGGACAGTAAATGTAGTGTGGAATTTTACTTTGAAAATTACTCTCTGTGTACAGCAGGCTAGAGATAGAGAAGAAATCCACTGCAGCGCCTGCCGAACTTGGGATGTTTAATCAGGACATTAAACACTTTGGGGAGAAGTAATTTTTTGACACTGAGCTACTCCCAACATAAAACTACACTAAAATGTTTTTTTTTGGCGGCCGGGGGGGGGGGGGTTCCACTCTGCCACAGTGATTGGTGAGTTCCTTCTTACTTTTTCCTTTCCTTATTTTTAAATTTTTATTTATTCTGTTAAGTCTTTTATTTTTGTAACTGGATTCTTTATCTCACTTTCCTCTTCATTTTCCTATTCTTTTTTAAATTTTTTTCATTTTTCCCTTTCTCCATCTCTCCATTTTAATATTACTATTAATCTGTATTAAATTTTAGATATTTGACTCTATGTTACTATTCTTGAATGCTTTTCTATTGCTAATGATAGAATAGCTGTCACATTTAAAAGCTATTTACTGTACATCAATATCTGGTTTGCCTTTGTGTCTATATATTATTATTGCAGATATTTTCTCTATTGTTAAGGGTGGGACGGTAGCTTTCATTGGTTCTTAGGTATGCCAATATCTACTTTGTCTTTGACTCTGTTACTATTACCGAATGCTGTACTATTGCCAATGGTAGGATAGTTATTGCTATTAATTGGTTTTTATCATGTGCCAATATCTGGTTTATATTTTTATTATCAACATGGCTCTGATTCATTTTCTCTGCTTCTGTGTGGTGCTGAGGATGAAGCCCACTGAAAAAAGTTGGATATTAAGAGGCCCTCAAATATAACACTGAGTAGGTAGGTTGAAGAGGGACGCAAACATCAATACATAAACACAAACACACATCACAGAATAAGAAATTTTAACTAAAGATAACGCCACAGTAGTGACACTGTTTCTACCCTAACTAATCTTCGATCTACACTGCAAAAATGACAGAAATATGGAAAAGGCAACAGATATGTACTAAAACCCTTAACTTCCCCAATGGTCAATGAAATGAAAGAAGCTACAAAGAACTTGAAAATGAAATGGTCAAAATGTTTGCAGAGCTCAGCAAAGAAACATACAACCAAATTCATAAGATATTTAGTGAATTTAAAGATTTTATTAAAACAGGTAAAGGATTTTATAAATAAAATGTGCAACTAGCTTGAAGAAACAATAAACTAACCCAGTTAAACAAGACAATATAAGATATGAATGAATAGTCTGGTAAAAATTTAGAAATTATGAAAAGAAAACAAGCAGAAATAAAACAGGAAAAATTCAAAAGAAAGCATGGGTGGCAGATTTGACAATACAATGATAGCATCAGAAACTGACGACAAGGTGGATGCAGATCATAGAAATGATACGTTAAAAACTATAAGAGCACAATCAAGCAAGATCCAACTGCTGCTAGATGACTAAAAACAAAACAAAACAAAACAAACAAAAAACACAAAAAAACCTCTAAGAATTACAGGAATAATGGAAAAAACAGATGGAATAAAAAATGTAATCAGAGCAGAAAACTTTCAAAATATAGGGAAATAATTCAATATCCAAGTCTATAGCCATACCACCCTGAATGCACCCCGATCTTGTCTGATCTCGGAAGCTAAGCAGGGTTGAGCCTGGTTAGTACGTGGACAGGAGAATTCAATATCCAAGTATAAGAGGCATATAGAACCCCAAAGAGCTACAGCCAGAAAATAATATCCCTAAGACATACCATAATCAAAATTTCAAAAATTCAACAAAAAGGACAAAAAACTAAAAGCAGTAAGAGAAAAACAGCAAATAACCTATCAAGGCAAGTCTATCCCAATAACTAGATTTCTCAGCACAAATTTGAAAGCCATAGAACTTGGAGAGAAATTTCTCAAGCCCTAAAACAAAAGAGTTGTCAACCTAGACTTATATTCTGAGAAACCACTTTAAAAACCAACAGAGAGGTAAAGAGTGTCCATGAAAAAGAAAGCCTAAATAAGTACAAAATCACTAATCCAGCATTTCAGAAATACTTAAGGGAACCCTAGATAGACACAGAGAGGCCACAAGCACCTGGGAGCCCAAAGAAAAGGACATATCTAAGTGAGAGAGTAGTAAAACTAAAGGAAAAAAAATTATCAGCACTAAAAAAGTAACGCAATGACATGACTCAATAAACACCTCACAATAAAAACTCTCCATGTCAATGGTCTCAACTCCCCAATCAAGACACAGACTGGTAGACTGCGTAAAAAAACCAAAATGCAGCCATATGTTGTCTGCAGGAGACACACCTCATTCAAAAGGATACACAAAGAATGAAAGTAAAAGATGGAAAATGATTCTCTGTCCAAAAAGAACCAGAATACACAGCAGAAGTAGTTATCTTATTCTCACACAACAGACTTCAAGACAAAAATGATCAAAAGAGGTAAGGATGGCCACTGCGTACTGGTACAGGGAACAATTCGGCAAGAGAAGATAACAACTCTAAGTATCCAAAGCACCAAATGTCAGTGCATCCAACTGCATGAAAGCAAAACTCCTAGACACAAAGCACAGGCGGAAACCAGTACATTCACAGCGGGGCGGGGGGGGGGGCGGA